CACAAACTGATAACAATTGATGAGAAATCATTGAAAGGGACAGCGAGCAGTTGCTGTGATACCATTTCTGATGTTTCTGATGTAGGAATTCTAGATCCTGAGATTTTATGCGCTCTTGTATCTCACCACCTGGTCAACAGTTGCAGATTAGCGCATAACTTTTCGGCGGCTTGGAGCATGGGGTCAAAGGAGAGCGACTTGATTCCCGTCCTTCTCTATCGCGTCCCTGGATCAAGTAAGTAATCGACGCTCAGGCTCGCAAAGCAAGGAGTTCCTTAGTTTTAGCAATATTCGTGTACAGCTCCACGGTGTAAGAGGCCATATCGAACTTTCCTTCTCATGAGCATGGAATAAACTCACTTCAATAAATTCGAGGGTACATTGGATGGAACTGTTTGAACATCGAAATATCCATCTCGATCATGAGCATAGAATAAACCCACTACAGAAAATTCGATGGTGCATTGAAATATCAAAAAAACCCTCTCATAGGCAAGGAATACTAAACCAACTACATGAAGTTCGATGATACATTTTACTGTGGCAAGGCCGACATCGCCAAGGGACCAAAATCAACAACAACAAACAATACGTTTGTCTCAACTCACAAATCATACTACAGACTATGGGATGAAATCTCTTTTAAAACATGGCTTAGACACACCTCAATTTCCAAACTTGAAGACGAAAAAGTAATCACATTCGGGGAGGGGGAACCAATACTCGAGTATACTCTCATAACGGAAACTGACTACCATCTTCCCTTTTAGTTTCTACACGATTCTGTAAACAAGCGTATACATTTCCTGTATCATGTATAGAATATCATCGCTACATCACAAGGTCGCATGCTAGAAGGAGATTAAACATCAGTTATCAATGTTGACATGTTCTGAAGTGACCCCTTAAACAATTAAACTCAGGGATGAACGTGTTCACGGAGGTTGGTCAGCGTTCAGATGGGGTACCCTCGCTATTAATTAGGACCGCTATTCATAATGCGAGATGAGGGTCGCTGTTCATAATTCACTTTAAGGGTCATTGATCATAAGGACCTCTTTCCGTATTATAAATAGCGACCCTCTCCTTGTGTTATGAATAGCGACCCTCCTCTTCGATTATGAATAGCGTTCCTCAAGCATAATGACCCTCATGAAAAATGACCCTATTCTCGCATTATGAATAGCGTGTGGGTGTGTGTGGGTGTGTGTGTGTGTGTGTAATTAGTTTTTTTAAAGACGTGTATCAATCAGATATGATTATTTAAGTCTTGGGACCGAGCTTTAAACGTCACCATCCGAAAGACGTGACTCAGTTTCGAACCTACGTCCTTGGCTGAATCAGTTTGTAACTTCCATTGTTAGCTGGATTACAGGCGCAAGCCACAACGCCCCTCATTCCGCGTTACGAAAAGCGACCCTCTAGTCGAATTATGAATAACGACCCTCTTCTCGTATTATGAGTAGCGACCCTCTCCTCGTGTTATGAATAGCGACCCTCTTCTTGAATTATGAATAGCGACCCTCTTCTTTGATTATCAATAGCGGTCCTTTCGAATAACGCTCCTTATAAATAGTGGTCCTAATGAACAGCTGTCCATATGAATAGCGAGGAGACTCCGTTCAGACAGTGACTTTTGAAGAGATGTCACGCATGATCGGAAATAAGTTTGCCATGTTGTATAGTGTCGGTCTTCGTATTTGAGTAATCTTTATTAGAGCATCTAAAACATTAATTTCGTTACAATATGTGAAATACTGAAACTATACAGAAACGATCCTTTCTGTATAGTTTCAGTATGGCCCCACTGCACGACTTGTCTACTTGCTCCCTCTAGATAGATAGATAGATAGATAAATGGTATTTATTGATTCATTTCCATGTATCGCAGTTACAATTAACTGAATTGTGCATGAATAAAACATTGATGGTGAAGACAATTATACATTTCAAGTGATATCACAGTAAAAAGTAACTGAATTGCACATGATTAAATTGCTGGAAAAAAGAAATTTTACATTGTAAGATGTCACACTACAATCTACATAATTATGAAGAGCGTGTATATACTATATACCATTAATCTTATATAATATTTAAATTTAAAAATTTGAGTTAAAAAGAAAGAGAGATGGGAAAGCAGGAGAGAGAGAAAAAAGGAGAGAAAGAGAGAGAGAAAGTCCAGTAAACTACCGCTGGTCGTACACCGATTTTAATTAACTTTTTGATGGCAACTGTATGATCTATTCTATCAAACGCTTTTTGAAAATCTGTGAGAAGTATCGTCGATGACGTTTCTGGTACCTCAGCATTTAAAAAAACATAATGAAGAATATTAATCAAACAGTGTGAGGTCGATAAACATTTCTGGTTTCCAAACTGATAGGGGTCTATATGTTGGGCAATGTCCTGATACATCCACTTTGCGATGAAACCTTCAATGACTTTAGCAAAGTGATATGTTAATGATATAGGTCTGAGTTTGTCAATACGTGCAGGATTCACCTTTGGGATCGGTACTACAATCGCACATTTCCAGGAGGCCGGAACTTTTCCTTGACTAAAAGAAGCATTAATTATATAGGTTAGAGGTCCCGAGAGTTCAACAGAAAAAAGACGGATTAGGCGTGCTGAAATATTATCTGGGCCATTCGCCGTCGAGCATTTGATTTTAGAAAGAACTTTATTAACCTGCCAAGGATATACCTCGGGTAAACTTTTAGAAGGTAAGTATGCAGGTAAAGCTGCTAAATTTAGTGGTTGTAAATCAGAAGAGACAGATATGAGATGATCGTTTATGGCATTCGCAATTTTATCTCTCTCACTAGGATCAACACCATCAACTGGGATATTGAGTGATTGACGACTTCCCTTTGTGAGGATGCGTATTTCTTGATACCATCGTGAAGGATTACTTTTCTTAAGTTTCTGAATACGTGACCTGTAATATTTAACTTTTGCTTTCTGAATTGATAAATTTACTTTGTTTCTTAAACGTTTCCACAAAATTCCCTTACCCTGATGAAATGCAATTTGTCTCTTATGAATCAGAGATTTAATTTCACCTGTCATCCAGGGCTTATCTCTAAAGTGCAATAATACCTTACGAACTGGAAAATAAATGTTAATTGCATTATTTAAAGTACTATAAAAAGAACCACATCGAACATTTACATCAACGTCTTCAGTCACTTCTGGCCAATCATAAGAAGATATCCACTGTCCAAACGCCCTTATTGCACTATCTGTCATGGGTCTGTTGAATACATAAACGAGTAGTATTTGGTAATTTAGGTTTGATTTTAAGAGGAAACCACATAATTGAATTGTGGTCAGACATTCCAATAGGAGAACAAATCTGTGGTTTATCATAAAACTGATGAATATTTGTGATAATCTTATCTAAAATGTGAGCCCCTCTAGTAGGGCAATCAACGACTTGACGAAATGAGTGGGTTAAAAGCACCGGATCAATATGCATTCGATTAAAATCTCCCAATATTACAAAACCTGCATCCGTATGATTAGTTAAAATAACATCAATAGTTGTTTCCAAATGATCTATGAGTTCTGTCTCAAGTTCAACATCAGGCTGAGGGTAATATACCACTGCACAGTAAATACAGGAGATGGATCTTGGAAGACGAGGAGGGCGTATCTTCACCCAAGTCACTTCAAGGTTTATAGGGACTTGGACATCGGCTGGAGAAGGATTTAAAAGGTCTCTCACGTAGATAGCTACTCCACCACTAGACCAGCTTATGGTCGTTTTAATCTGTAATTGCACTTTCCCGAATGCGCGCGCGTGTATGATATGCGTACTCCCCACGAATTCACCTTCCCCGAAAAAAGGTCGTTTTAATCTGTAATTGCCTTTTCCCGAATGCGCGCGCGTGTATGATATGCGTACTCCCCACGAATTCACCTTCCCCGAAAGTGCCCGTACGTGTATATTATGGTACCAAGTATGATATGTGAGCGAGCACGGATCATGTAGAGAACAGTCCAGGCAGTGGACTACTCCACCACCTATACGATTAGTTCGTGATTTAGTGCAGAGATAATAACCTGGTATAGAGAAGTTATCGAGTGGGCAGTCATTCCTAAACCAGGTCTCGGTAATAGCTGCAATGTCTACATGAAGATACGAGATGACAGCTGATAGCTCATCAAACTTATTGCATGCTGATCTGACATTGCTTAAAAGAAAAGAAGGCAAATCGCACCCAGACTGAGGGGCGACTGGGACAGAAGTCAAGCATCTTCGGCGAGGGAACCTAGGGTATTTCTTAGGTACTTTCTTGGTACGGGCCGTAGGTAGAATAATCGGAATGGGATGCTTGAAATGTTTCAATTTTCGAACACCAGCTCTGCAGCCGCGATGGGTTTTGAACTCTTTTCCAATTTCGAGCTCTGATATTGTTTTCCATGTCTGGACTGGTAGTCGTAAGCTTTTCCCACAAGAATTTGAGTTAATATTAACCAATTCACCTCGCGTATAATTATATCGTTTATTTGTATTGCATGATGTCAACTCGAACGGACCCGGGTTAGATTCCACATCACCGCAACAAATGATAGGTAAAGTGAAAGTTGCACTTGCATTAGCATAATACTTAATTGGTGTTTTGTGATATCCGCTACGATGAAGCTGTTTATGAGCTCGGCTAGGAGCACGAACGGGAACAAACGCAGTTTCATGTTTAGAGTAACTCGAATGTCCACGGAGGCCGATAATTATACATAGGGCAATGTAGAAAAGAACGTATACTTTGTAAGTATCCATCAGTGCGTTTCAAGACTATTCATTGTATGTAGATGAATGTTACACCACGGATAGGCAAATCGGTCACACACGAACAACGTTCACACATCCACGCAGTATAGTACATGTGTAACAGCCCAATGTAAAATGGCGTTACTTGCATGTACTGTGTACACATCCGTTGAATCAAAATTTAGAAAAACAGTTTCCAGTATCTAATATATAAATACATCACCTCAAAAATGTCATGCAGTGTCACAAGTACATAAGATGACAGTTGATCAACAATAAAACAGCATACACTCAGATTATCAGTGGTAAAACAAGGTAAAATTCAGAGCAAAAACAGAGACGGCTGCCTGCTAGGCGCATTCAAATCACATTCTATATAGAAAACAATGCCTAAGCGGTGCTCGTTGGTCCCCCATGATCCTCTTTTCTTATGTTAATTGAGAGCTGAGTTGATGAGATAACCCCCTGTCAGTGACCAGCAAGGTGGTCTAATTCCTCCTGGCCAAACTAGTACAGGCGGGCTTTAAAGCGACAAGTTTACCTAAAAAAACCACCTAAATGTGCTTGCGATTAGGTTAAAAATTAAAATGATACCTACCTTAACAACGGGTCCTTTCGATGAGCAACTTTAACCAACCTTAACACGAGTGTGGTTGCAAAGATGCCAACAAATAAAGATGATACCTACTCTATATAACATAAACGACTGATCCTATAATGAGCAACCTTTTCAAACATCTAAATGTCAACTCGACTGCAACTCTGTATATCGTATACATTTCGTCTAGCCAGTACGTGAATAGTTTAGGCTGCACGATTAGGTCACGTGTTAAGAAGATTAAACATCATTTCACTGTTGACATGATCTGAACTGACCCCTTAAACAATTCACCTCAAGGATGTACGTGTACGTGTTCATAGAGGTTGATCAGCCTTGATCAGACAGTGACCTGTGAAGACATGTCATACACGGTTGTAAATAAGTACATCATACTGTCTTGAAAGTCTTCTCTATTTAAACGAGCTAACTTCGTCTTTGAGTAACATTTATAGATCTAGCTAGAACATCAAACACGTTAATTTCCTTACAATGATGTCAAATACTGAAACTACATAAAAATGATCCTTTTGGGCACAGACCTAATCTAAAGAAGACACCCAATGTGCTTGCAATGATGTACTAAACGAGATGATAACAACCTAAACAAATGTTCCTATTGAGCAACTTTTCCAACCTAAAATATGTCAACACGATTGCGATGATGATACTTGTCCTGCTGAGAAACCGTTACAAATCATCTTTAACAAAAACCGAGAATGTGCTTCTCGGTTAGAGTGATGACGTTAAAAACTGAAAATATACCAACAATAATATTGATTCTTCTGAACAACCGTTTCCAACCTCAAAAGAATGAATGAGCAATTTTTATTAACCTCTAAAAATACCAATGCGCTTGTGATTATTTCAAAAAAACTAAAATTATACCAACAATTAGTAACCTTAAAGGTAAAGACCAGTTATGGTCATGCGATTGCATTGTGAAAGAAACGTGGAATCGATCGGAAAAGGTTGATCATCTAGCATCTAGCATCTGCAAGGTTCTGGAATCATCAAAATGATAAGAAATTTGGCCCATTCTTTGTAAAGTTACAAGCACTATACACAGAAAGATGTATATGGGACTACCCTATATCTCTCACAGACCATGAGAGAAACAAATTTACCAAATATATGAATTAGTAGGCGGTTTCTCGGCAAATTTTTTATCATCATGTATTAGTCACAACATATTCTTTCACATGATTGGTAATGAGAGCTTCCATTTCATTTTTTGAAATTGGGGTGTTTCCAATACTGGTCTTTACCTTTAACATCAACTGATTCAGTTCGAGCAACTTTTCACCGTCAACAATAATAGTGTTTCAAGTCTTTCGTATTCTTTGTGCATGGCTGATCGTCAACGAACTCTGTTTGTTGCTACGGCAGGCAGCCAGTGAAAACGAATTCGTTTAATCCAATTATTGAAATGCAAGCTAACTTAAAAAACAGAACTTTGTCATTCCTGGCTCATTTTTCCTGATTGAGGTGTCTTATGAAAGGGCAGACAATGAACTTTCTAGAATTGTGATTTTTCTCTTTGAAATTCAGATACCGCCGGCCAAATGACTTGTTGGTACTCTCTCTTCAAATTATGTTTAATCACTCATGCGTGAAATATGCATCATATGAGTTGCATCAAATGAATATGGGGGATCTAAGCTTTACAAATATGTGTCATTGATTAATTGTAATTGTGATTAAGTTATGATAAAACATCGATAATTCTCGGTTTCGTATTTTCTAGGACGCACTGTATATATCCACTTTGCGCCTCTTGATTATATCTAACAACCAATATTGGGGATAAATCAAAATTTACATTTACATTACCGACGTTACACTTCAATAACTAGAATATCGTTATGTTATGACAAAAATAATAATGTTAATATTTCTGAAATATATCGTGAATAATATTGTCGTCAGGATGGTAATCATTAAACAATCATCATGTTATGACTTGGAGACAAGTAAGATGTGCCTTTAATATAGACAGGGTTTCACGCACACACCCCGGCCGCCCACTCCGAGAACGGACGGACCCCATGCGTGTTACCAAAATGTCCTTTTCGTAACAAAAGAAAAAGGTCGACCCGTATTGACTTTACACACCGGACTTTTGCTGAAAGGGGGGGGGGGGGGGGTGCTGAGAAAGGCTCGCATAACAAAAGAAAATGTCGACCCGTATTAACTTTACACATCGGACTTTTGCTGAAAAGGGGGGGGGGTCGATTGGAACACGCATATGCGTACCCTAAATAACATGGGAGTGGGGGGGGGGGGCGGGGCAGACACATCTCGTCGGCTGCACAGGCTTTTCAGCCGCCCTACACCAGGCGCGGATCCACGGGCCGATTCTATTTGGTGAGTCCAGGACGCAATAACAGCGACACTTGCTTATAGTATACATGTATATATTGCTCTCAAAAACAAATCTGCCATATGTGAGAGGAAGAGATGATACGGTTCTTCGCTTGTTTTAAATTTTAAACATAATGTACGTCATTCAACAAAAATATTGTGACCTGCCAGGGATATAAATGCGGCATCAAAATATTTGTGCTTCTCCGACCGTAATTAAATGCCTAAAACCCCTGAGCTTCCAGGGGCTCCGCCCCCTGAACCGGCCCCACACCAATTTGCGCTTAGCTCGCTACCCTCTCTCTACCTGATCGTAAATACTTTAGCCCCCCACTTTGATAAACATTCCGTGGGGCCCGGTATTTGCATAAAACACTGATCTTTAAATATCTTTAACGTTCTTCTCCCCTTGCAAACGAGAAAGAAAACAGCGTTTCAGTATAATGCTTTTCCTCAAAAACAGTTTCGCTATTTTTTTAGGGTTGGGACGCTAAGAAATGGTTTCAAATGTACATTACACAAACCCTGAACCATTGCATAATGATGGGGGTTCTCTCTCTCTCTCTCTTTTAATCATGCATTATCAACTAAATAGAAAGCAGCAACAAACAACTTAGGGTTATCTGGGATAGGTGAAAGTAAGAGTTAAAAAGAAAGTCATGTAAAAATGGCGCTTCACCTCCCCTACCCCCCCCCCCCAAAAAAAAATGTTCCTCCTCTACAGCATCAACCCCCCCCCCCCCGCTTATTCACCAGCAAAAATTTTCCCAAAAAACTGGAACCCCCCCCCCCCCAAAAAAAAAAATGTGCTCTTACCAACCCCCCCCCCCCCCCCCGATCATTTGCCGCCGGATGGATCCGCCCCTGCCGCACACCACGGTGCATTTAGATAATAAGAGTCATATCAATATTTTTTTTAGTTTGTGTTTTAATATTTACCTTTCATATGTCACCATAAGTTCATTACATGGAAGACAATACCCGTGGCGGACTTTAGCGGTGAAAAATTGAACTTTACCACTTTGTTCAAATATAGTCGTTCAAATTAAGATGTGACAAGGTTCTTATAACGAGACAATTATTTGCTTAGTGATCGTATCCTACTTTATATTACTTACCACACATACATACTCTAGCTCTCTGATCGGTGAAAACTGCTAGTAGGACATTTTCTACTGAAAGTTGGGCATTATATATATATTTGTTTATACAAATATTTTCCCCTTTATTTTTGAAAGTGGCAAACAAATAATTGAAGATCGACATCCCCCTCCCTCTCTCCTTTTTTACCAAGTTTCTTGCTCTAGCTGTTTTTAGGAAGCTCTGTATTTCTTCCTAGTTGTATTCTGGTGTTGATATTAATTGGAATATTATGGGTTCATATAGCGCTTGATACATCGATGGTTTCTATAAGCGTCGGTGGTTACAGATAGAATACCCTCCGCTCACTGGGAAGTATTCCAGCTATCGTTAATACAGACGCTTTTACATAATGTTCACATCCTGGCTGGTACCCATTTAACACATCGGTAGAGATCGGTCATCGGATTCAGGCTTACCCGCACACAATGTATGCACATTCTCCACTCCCTGGGGAGCATTTCAGCCAGGCGTCATTTTTACATGCGCACACTTAGCACATTAGCTTTCACATCCTACCGGGTACCCATTTAACACCTGGGTGGAGAGTGGCAAATGTACATCAATGTCTTGCCAAAGGACATTAGTACCGCGGTGGGACTTGAACCGCGGACCTGGTGATACACAGTCCGGTTTCATATCCACTCGTCCCCGACACCTCTATCAGATGTCTTTAACTCAGAAGCTTTGTGTAGACATTAACCATTGACTTGTCCTAATTTTGATTTGTGTGACAATGAACATAATGCTACCAACATAAAAGATTACATCGTTTTCAGATTACCAACCAAGTCGATATTTAATGCTCCCCCCCCCCCACAAAGTATTAAACCAATTGTATGCTACATCAGAAACAGATGATTGGCGACCCATGTGCAACAGGTAAAACTGTCCCCACGCCTCACAGTTGAGAAATGTTATTTTTAGTTTTATGTATCATTCGTATAATAGAATGAAAAAAGTACCATGGTAACCATGGTTTTTTGTCCAAATTACCATCCACCATGGTAACCATGGTTATCATTTGTACCATGATAACCATGGTGGATGGTAATTTGGACAAAAAAAAACATGGTTACCATGGTACTTTTTTGTAAAGGATATAATACAAAACTAAATTTTAAAATCGTGTCTGTGAAAAACTTTTATATCTTATACCTCAGTCACACCAAGGAGACCGACCCATGCTCGTCTGTAACCAAAGAAAAGACGTTCTCATATGTCATGTGACGAGCTCCTAGAATTATTTTTAAAGATCGTTTTTTAATTCTTCCTTTTTAGTACATTGTCAATCAGTAAGGGCTG